ACCGGTGAATAACGTAATGTGGCTCTCCATTGCTGGCTTCCAGGACCGGTGAGAACCGCCTCTGGGCCTCTTCTTATACAGTAAGAGCTCGGACTTAGCGGGCGAGCACCTTAGCCCGGTGGGGATGAGATAGCGCTCCGTCACATCGATGGCCTCTTGCAAAGCACTCTCGACCTGACCCTCACATCCGCTGAGGCACCAGATGGTGATGTCGTCTGCGTAGATCGTGTGGTTAATGTTCGGGATTTTGTTCAAGGCCCTCGACAGGTTGATCATGCAGATATTGAACAGCGTCGGGGAGATCACCGCCCCCTGAGGTGTCCCTTTTGGCCCAAGGGTAATTTCGTGGGTCAAAAAACCGTCAATCTTCAGTCTTGTGGACCGCGACGAAAGGAAGGAGCGCACAAAATTGTACGCCCGCTTGCCGACGTGAAACTCAGACAAGCTCTTGAGAATAAAGGCGTGCGATATGTTGTCAAAAGCCTTTTCCAAATCCAATCCAAGAATCGCCTTGGTGTCGGCGGAGCCGGAGTCAATGACCTGGTGCTTGATCAGCTTCATGGCGTCCTGAGTCGAGAGCCCCGACCGAAAGCCAATCATGTTGTGGGTATAGCATTCGTTAGACTCGAGGTGGTCAGTGAGGCGGTTGAGCATGGCGTGCTCGGCCACCTTCCCGACGCACGACGTCAACGAGATTGGCCTAAGATTCTCGATGCTCGGTGCCTTACCCGGCTTGGGTATCAGTACTGTGCAGGCCGCTTTCCAGCTCTTGGGAATGAGACCGCTGCGCCAGATTTCGTTGATCTTGTCTGTAAGAAACTCGATCGAGTCGTCGTCGAGGTGCTTGAGCATTTTGTTGGTTACCCCATCTGGCCCAGGGGCGGATCTGCTATTGAGGGATGCGAGAACCCGCTTGACCTCAGCCACGGTGAAGTCCTCGTCCATCGATGGCGCGTCGCGCCCCTCGTAGTCGGGAAACTGGGGAGGTACCGGATCGTCCGTGGCCGCCAGGTACTTGTCTATGAGCTTCTCCGTGATCACCTCATCTGGAGTTGAGTCGGTGGCCAAATGGACAGCTTTCGCCAAAGCTCTCTTCTGATTGGACTTGGTGTTGCCGTCGTGCAGTAGGTGTTTGAGGAGTCTCCAGCTTTTACCGGTCTTGAGTTGGCCCTCCATAGAATCACAGAGCTCATCCCATTGCTGCTTGCATAAGACCTTGCAATGATCTTCTACCGTTTTGTTGATTTCGGACATTTTCTTGCGCAGTCTTCTGTTATGGCGCTGAGTCTTCCTTCTGTTATGGCGCTGAGTCTTCGGGGGGGGGGGGTGTCAAGATTTTTACGGGTGTTGTGTTAAGGGAGGGGATGGTTAGCTAGATCTAAATGCCTGGATGTCGTAAATGGCACGTTTCAACGCCTCGCCGTGACTGTTTTTCGTATTGACGCATCTGAGCGCGGCAAGTGCATACCGAATGGGTCTCGTATTTCAAGATGGATTCGTTTCTCCGTCGCTCGAAAAACCCGGCCGACTCCTTCACGTGCTCGAGTTTTCACTGCGTTTTAGGGGCGAAGCTCTTTATGGCGTGGCTTGTGCGTCACTCGTAGTACGTAACCACCAGCGGCACATACCCGAAATAAGTATAACATTTGACCTCCAAGGTGGTGCTGGTGAGAGATATCTTCTGTGCGTTGTTTAACAATAAAAAATAGTGCTCAATGTACATGCCGATGGCTGCTAATGGGGAATGAGAGACAGGAGCATTCGGCTTTTAGTCAACGCGCACGCTGCGATCCCCATCAGCAGCCATTGGCATGTACATTGAGCACTATCGGAAAAGAAAGGGTTGCTACATTATACTCGCTGGGTGTAACCTCCTTAGTTTTAGAAAGGTTTAGCGAGCGTTGAGCCGCAGGGCCATGAATACAATGAACTAGTACATACCATGAATGAATTCGAGGTGGTTAAAGGGCGGAAGCAGATATACGAAGCGCAAGCCGTAAGAAATTAAAAGCTGAATCCTCCTGTCTCTCATTTCACATTAGTAGCCACTGGCATGTACATCGAGCACTATCTGACAGGAAAAGGTTGCTACGTTATACTCGCTGGGCGTAACCGGAGTGCCATGAATACAGTGAACTAGTATATACCATGAACTCAAGGTGGTTGAAGGTGGGAAGTAGACCCGAAGCGCAAGCCGTAAGAAAGTGTGCGTGTGCCACCTCTCGTTTAGTCCTTGGAATGTCCACTGAATGGCGGTGCTTCTATATGGGGAATATATGATGAAAAGATGCGAGATGGTGAGACTCGGAGTGTTGAATAGATGGACGAACGGACACACAGACAGATGCATGGATGGACGCATGAACGGACGCAGGGGCGGATGCATGGACGAACGCAGGGACGGGCGCACGAACAGACGCATGGACGGTCACACAGACGGACGCATGGACGGACGAATGCTTCGCCCCACTCTCCATCATTCACTCCGTGGATATGCTGCCATTTTTTTTTCCTCCCCGTTTCGCGCCGCTCTCGCGTTTTACCGCTCTCGCGTTTTACCGCTACCGCCTCGCGTTATCCCCTTCTAGCCACCATACTCGCGTCTTCGGGGAATGCGGCTTGGAATCTCAGGTTGCACGCGCTTTGAGCTTTAAACCGTCGTTTCTTTAGTCTTTTCTTTGAACTCGGTTTCTTCATTTCTTTCGACTGTGCTTTCTTTCCTCGTGTGTAGCCGCGTCTGCGGGCTTGGCTGTTACTTAACGTCGCTCCTCGGCGCCGTGTCACGCGTTGCTCAGCGCTGAGACGCGCGCGCCTTTTCCCTTCCCCTCCCTTTCTTTTCGGCCGAACGCGTTGAAAGGGAAGGAGGAGGAGGAGTTGTGGACTCTGGCGTCTAGGCGGTGGGTGAGAACGATCGAGAACCCGGAGTTCTATTCCCAGTCGGGCGAGCCCCCAAAATAGCGCCCCCTCTCCCCTCCGTACGTGTGAGAAGGGGGGCAAGAGTGCGCGCGTGACACGTTTGCCAGAGGAAGTCAAAAGTGGGGGAGGAGGGTTAATGCCGCGCTCGCGATGCAGCGAGGCAAAGCTAGCTTTCAGGAGTCCTGTGGGGGGGGGGGGAGGGGGTGTGACGGGAAAGAGAGAGAGATTATTTGGAAGCGTAAACCTGGCGCAGGTTTCAAACACCCATAGCTGGAGAGCTGGCAGCACAATTTGCCTTTTGTTTTTGTTACGCTCCCTCGCCTCAACCTCCTCCTCGCGTCTCCCTCGGTGTCGGTCTCGAGGAAGGCTTGGGCTCCTGCCTCTGAAACGGGCACTCTTTCGTCTCCCGACCCGCCGACAACGCTGCATCTCTGAGGTAATAGTCTTACGAGTTCGCAGCGTGGTGTTTGTATAATATTCCTTACGTACGGTAGTGTCTGCAGGGACCCTTTCTCAGTTCTGTTGTGTGTCTCACGTTGCACCGGCTGTGTTCCTTAAATGGACATCCAGATAGAGAAACGGTGTCTTGGCTAGCTAGCAACAGCAAAAGTGGATTATTTTCGCTTGTTGTTTTTACCCATGTATTCTTGATCTGTCGGGAAACCAACTTGTTTTTTTTTTTTTGTGCGATGACACAAGTGAGGCCTGTTCAGAATATTGCGTGACTTTCAGTGTGGGGTTAATCATCGCTGAATAGCATGTCTTTGGACTTTTAGATAGCCTCATTCTGAGCCTAATTCACAATAATCTTTGTGTACTTTGTTTTGACGTGAGTAAGCTGCATAGCTTTTTCCTCAGTTTTTTTTAATAGTTTTTTCTTGTTTCTTCGGCTATCTGCTTGGGTTTCAGCTGGGCGATTGCAATAAGAACTTAGCCTTTGATTTGAGTTTGCTTATTGCATCTTGTCATTCCTGAATAAATGCACATGTTTGTGCTTGTTTGCCTCTTTTCAAGTAGGGAATAAATTGTCAGCCAGATTTGTCAAAAAGGTAATTTTCTTTTTCAGCTTAAGCATAAGCTCTAAGATGCATGCAATTTGCAATTGCATATGCAACTACTGTAGGATACTGTAGGTTTCTGTATAGGTATCTGCCAAAGTGGTGTCGGCATAAAGTTCAATTCTGACCAGATGGAATAAATTCTAATTAGTAATAACTAACAGTGGTTTGGTACAAAGATAGTTTAGACAGGCTTGTTGCTCATTGCTTTGGGTTCAGCAGATTAGATCAAGTTTTGTTTGCGAATGTGTAGGTTGGTCCAGTGAAGATTATGTGATATATTTGTAATGGCTTTATATTGGATGTAGAAGTGAGAGAGTATATTTAATTATGCTATTTGTGGGATTTACAAAGATTTACAGTTATTAGATCTAGCTTATGCTGTCTTGTCACTGCCTTTACAGTGTGGAGTTTCATTTACACCTGCACATGTGTTATTTCTGTTGTTATTTTTAGATATGCAACCATGGGTGTGTAGGAGAGAGTGGCAATTGTCAAAAGTGCTGCATTACTAGGGAAGGGAGGTGAAGTGGATATATTTGCCAGTAATAGATGGCTCTTCAGTTGAAAGTTAGCCATCATTTGATATGTTGTCTTCTTTATAAACTAATTAGTAAGTATCGCCTTTCAATAGGTTGAATCGAACGTCATTTGGCATTGTGTGCTTTGCTAGCTACGAGTGCTTTTACAATTACAATAGTTCTGCCCCGACCCATTGGTTCTGCAACTAGCATTCTGATACTTAGGCTGAGGTCGTGTGTTTGATTTCCTGTGGTGGCAGCTGCCATTTAATGAAAATAGAATAAAAGAAGTTCTAGTGTAAATGACTTGATTAACCAATTCCAGGTGGCCTAAAATATCTTGTACCATTATCCTGTCTTCTATTACAGCTTCGACATCTTGGGCATTAAATACCAACCAGTGATTCAAAGAGCAGGCTTGTCCGAGAAACAAATACTGAAGGCAATCAGTGTGCAGTTTCTCTTTTCATATTCACATCTTTTCATCTGCTTCACTCTTCCGCAGGCCTCTGGGCGGCACGTTACAGACTTACTTTGAGAACCTCTCGCTGAGAGGGGAAACAGCGCGGGGGCTCAGCTTTGGTGGCGGAGCACCGACGAACTTCATTCCCTTCAGCCCCGTAGATCCGTGGGACCAGAGAACAAGGAGTGAGCCAAACATTTACAGCAATGTACACTCAAACCTCGATATAATGAATTTTTGTGTAACACAGTATTGCTTATAAGGAAGTTGCTAATAACTTTGCCACAGATTGTGTTACAAACATTCATTTATAATGAATTTTCGGATATAACAAAGTATTTTCGTGGCAGATGTGACTTTGCTATAATGAGGTTTGAGTCTATTTTTAATAGAGTGTAGGTCTGGGCAAATCACTCGCTGCACTTGCATTACACGGTCACTTCTGCGAGCCTATTTGTCGTATTTTTGTCTTCTGCAAAGAGACACTGTTCAACAGTTTGCAGTGGTGTATAAGTCTGGAAGCTGTTTACTCGAATAGAGTACCGCATCTGTTTTGTACAGAATGCGCCCAGTTTCAGCTTCTATATTTAGTCTTTGAGGTATAAGTCGTGGCAAGATGTATGGCTTCACTGGTGTTTCTAAAGCTGTCCTATAACAGAACAGTTCTAAAACAGAACTTGCTGTCACTTCAGATTGTTTGAAGATAACATGTGTTAATTGGACATAGTATTTTGCAATCAATGTCAGAACAACTCCCTGCTTTCCGTGTCTTCTTTGCATAAGGAGCTGGTTTGTAGTGCCTAAAGACGTCGAGGGCAATGTATGGCGATAGTGGGCCAAACTCAGCATTAACAATACGCTCGAACCTTATTATAACAAAGTTGCATCTTACACAAAACCAAGTGCTACATCTGAGAATTCGTTATAAATGGTATATTTCTAATATACCTATTGAGAGGCCATTCTTCATTTACTTCGTTCTAGCTGATATTTCATTATATCCGAGTTCATGTACAATAAAACCTCAATGTAACGAAGACGGATATAATGAAATATTGGTTATAATGACACAAAAATTAAAAAATTGTTTTGCAATAGATAGTGCTAGGAATAACCTTTATAATGAAGTTTCAGATATAGCGAACTTATTTTCTTACGAGATGCAACTTTGTTATAATGAGATTTGAGTGTATAGGGGTTTGAACGTGTATTGCCTATACGCATACAGTGCTATGAAGCGTCAAGATTTTTACCTGCAAATCAATAAAACTCACACTTGATTCATTCAGGTTCTGTATCACCGCCTCAACAAGAGAGGCAACCAGCTCCGATTCAAAGGATGTCATCGGAAACGGCAACGGAGCCAGCTACAGAGCCGGCTGCACGGCCTGCTTCGGATTCTGCGGCAGCCGACAGCAACGGCGAAATTGAAGACCGACCCGCACCCATCCGAAAGTCTCGGCGATACAGCGACCCACCGGTATTCTACCCACAAGTTGATGTAAGCAATGTGCTTCTCATTTGTTCAACTGTACTTTAGGGCATGTGGTTCGTTTACGCATTATTGTACTTGCTTAGTGTTTATTTTTTCAATAAGTAATGAAGAGTGCTAAGATATGCCATATTTTGCTAACGAAGGGCACCTGATTGTGATAGTTAAAGCTCTTTACAATTGTGTTCTTTATTTCTAGTGTTCTGTTATTTCAGCAAGATCTCATGGGAAAGCAACACAAATGTGCTTGAGAATAAATTCGTCACATTTAATCAGCTTTGACAGCAGATGAAACCTCGCAACTAAACAAATATGGGATTAACAGCACGCGAATGATTAAAAGCATGTTTGCGCTGCTAACCCCCTTTTTTGAAACATGTACAGTGGCACTCAATATGTGTTGTGACATTTTGGCCATGGTACAAGGGGCCCGAAGCCAGAGCTGCAAAACTGGCAAACGTGAAATTGGTTTTGGAAATACTGGTAGTCTCAACAGTGTATATTTCAATGACTGTTTTCCAAGTTGGCATAACCTTGCAGTGTTGGCAGCTGTGAGCATGGACGGCATGATGCAATGCATATTCGGCACAGCTGTAGCCTGTGACACTTTATTCAAAAGCATCGGCCCCTAACAATCATTCTGATGTGCAGGGAGCTGCAGCGTTAAAGGAATTGGAGGGTCACCTGGAAAGTGTCATCAACGACCAGGAGCGATCGGCACTCAGAGAGCTGCACGAATACCTTGTTACAGACAACGGAGCGTGGGCCCTTGGAACGCCACAACTCGACCTGTTCAGTACGTGTGTCTCGATGATGTTTCGTTAACGACTGTTAATATTTGCAGTGGTGTCTTAAAGGTGTACCGACATGAATTCCAGATATCACAAAAGGGACGGTTTTTTTTTTTCTTTCCTTGGTGTGCATTGTCGACACTGCTCGCACACCGGAGTCAGCCAACATGTATGAAACATTTACTTTGACATTAAGGTTTTCGCCGTAGAGCGTCAGCAAACCACCCTATCTCAGTGGACATTATCTGGACGAGTGAACACACTTAGTCTGTGAGCTCTGCATTTTACATGCAGCCTACGTCACAGAAATTACTGTCAGGATCGCTGGAGATAATGCACATATCATTGTTTACTTGTGGCACAACAAGCAGATGTCAGATTTGTCGTTAGTGGTACGTCATGAGTTACCTTCTCAGGCTGATGTCACACCATCACCAGTAGTGGTGTTTCAAATACATGCTATGCATTCTCAGGAACCACAGTAATCTTTTTATGGTTCTCGAAACCAGTGTTCTCCCTTGGAGCATCAATCTCGAAATATTCAAAAGTCGTGTCAGTACTCCTTTAAGCTGAAGCACTGGAAGCCTCAGTACTCGTTAAAAGTGCTGGAAAAGCAGGTGTGACCTGTCTTTTCGCGATTAAGGCACTGTACTATATTGTGGGGAAAATGAAAAAAAGAAAAAAAAGTGATATGAAAACGAAAACCAAAGTACGCTTAAAGGGAGATGCTACTCGAAAAACGATTTTCTTTAACAAGAGTCTGAATTTAACACAAATTGGCATGCTAATAGAGTTTTTTCTCCTCTTTTCAAATACCGTATTTACTCGCATAATAGGCGCACCCCTATTTTGGTCGCGGAAAATTCGATTTTTTTAAATTCCGCGCATAATAGGCGCACCCCGAACTTGGCCGTGATCAGAAACGATTCTACCTCCCAGCGGTACAGTTGGAACGCGGTCCCCGTACCCTGAAGAAAAAAAGAAGGCAAATCGACGAGCAAATAAAAAAAATTCGAAGTGCAACGACCTAACCAACGTGTTTGTCGAAATAAAACTTGAAAAAAAAAAAACCGTTCATGAGCGAAAAAAAAAAAAAACGGCTGTTCCATCAATTACTGATACCCCCCAAATCGCCGCGCTTTTTGGAGGTCACGTGTACAACGCCGGGGGCTCGATCGCCATCACCACCATCAGAGAAAAAGAAAAATGCCATTTTGCAAGCGGTGTGCGTATGTTGTGGTCGTGTGTTGAACTTTGGTTCCACCATGGGGAAGTACGCGAGCTACACGGCTGGGTTTAAACTGAAGGCAGTGCAGTACGTGCTGGAGCACGGCAACCGAGCTGCAAGCAGGCATTTCGGCGTTGGAGAAACCAGTATGCGGTACTGGAGGGACCAAGAAGAAAAACTTAAGGCGACGAAGAAGACACGACGGGCTTTCCGTGGTGCCAAGACCGGCAGGTATCCGAACGTCGAAGAGCAACTGGTCCGGCATATACGGGAGCTACGACAAGACGGCTGTGCTGTGTCGTTGGATATTGTGCAGACTGAGGCGCGCAGAATAGCCCGAGCGCAGGGCATCGAAGCAAAAGAGTTCAAAGCCAGCTCCGGATGGACAACTCGTTTCATGCGGCGCCATGGCCTCGCACTGCGAAGGCAAACCACCTTGTGCCAGCGCTTGCCCGCAGCATATGAGGACAAAGTGGTGGACTTCCACAGTTTTGTTATAAAGCTCCGACAGCAGAAAGACTTCATTTTGTCCCAGATCGGCAACGCTGATCAGACCCCCCTTTGCTTTGATATGCCGTGGAACACGACAGTGGAGGAGAAAGGTGCACGGAGCGTCATCGTCAGAACGTCTGGCGCTGATAAACAACGATGCACCGTAATGCTGACGGTGACAGCTATGGGCGTAAGCTACCGCCTTACGTTATTTTTAAACGTAAGACGCTCCCAAAGGCGAAATTCCCTCAAGGCATCTACGTCAGAGTCCAGGAAAAAGGCTGGATGAGCGCGGAACTCATGGTGGATTGGGTGAAAACAGTCTGGGGTCGGCGGCCGGGTGGTCTGTTGTTGTCGTCCATGCTTGTCCTGGACAGTTTTCGTGGGCACCTAGTGGACCGCGTACGAGATGAGCTAAAGGAGCTGCGCACAGATCTGGCAGTGATTCCGGGCGGCCTCACATCAATACTGCAGCCTTTGGACGTGTCCTTGAATAAACCTTTCAAGGACAATGTTCGAAGGCTGTACACCACCTGGATGGCTGGAGGACAAGATCAGCTGACTACAGGTGGTAATATTAAGAGGCCGCCTGTGGAAATGCTGTGCGCTTGGATCGTGGAAGCGTAGCAGGCGATCTCCGACAAAGTCGCCAGGAAAAGCTTCAAGAAGACGGGTATCTCGAACGCACTGGATGCGAGTGAGGATGACATGTTGTGGGGTGCGGATGATTCGGACACCGAAAACGAATCCCCGCTCGGCGAGGATGAATGTGTGATCTCCGACTCGGACTCCGAATAGGGAAAAGAAGGAACAGCTACGACTTTTGTGTAAATAAATTTTACGTGTGTGTGTGCAGTTGACGGCTCTCGCTTGTTCATTAAAAGGTACGTAGGTATGTTTGTTTTATGCTGAATTAATTGGTAAACGATAAAGTCGCCTTTTACTTGACAAGTGTGCAGATTTAAAGTGCGAGAACCGAGTTGAAAAAGTTTTCGAAAATTTTACCTCGCGTAATCGGCGCACCCCTAACTTCGAGCCGGATTTTCTGAAAAAAAAGTGCGCCTATTATGCGAGTAAATACGGTATGTCATTTATTTTCATGTAGATTGCTTGGTTTTCTTTCTGCAGGTCAGATACTGCAAAATTATGGCCATTGTTATGAAACAATTCTGACCTATAAAAAATTGAGATAAAGCATGCAGATATAGCTGACTATGATCCTTTGGAACTGTAGAGTGCAAAAAACTATATAAATTTTGTGTGTAAAAAGGTGAAATACAATAATAAAATAGAAAAATTTACTATGGCTCTAGTTGCCAAGGGCTTTCAATGTTATGTAATTTTTGAAAAACATAATCAAGTAGCACTGACAATCTGAATAGATACTTGCACTCTATGGGCCTTCATCATGCTATGTGCAAAATTTCTTAGAGGTATGACAATTCTAAGTATACAAACTAGCGTGTATAAGAAGCACAGATCACACAAAACTGCAAAAGGAGAAAAACGCATTTGAAAGTTTGAAACCTTTTTTTTTATCACAGAGTTGTTAGAAATGCATAATCTTTGGCCATAATGTTCAACAGAACTTTGAAAAGCACTGCAAGTTACTAGAACTGTCCTGCAGCATAGGTTGTGCCCTCACGGTCCTTGCGAGCACTCTCTTCTACCCGTGCCCTTTTCACTCCACGACGACGGTGGGCCCTTGCTTCTGCTGTCAGACGCTCGGACATTCTCCTGATGCGCCTCGCATCGCGGGAATCACTGAAAGTAACTAGATCTCTAGATGGCAGTATGTTGAGCTCTTCCAGGATGTGCTCGAAAGTAGCATGACCCTTGTTGAACCACAGGATTGCCATAGCTGCGGCAGTCTCGACAACCGTTCGGGAGACAAACTTAGTCTTGGGGCAAAGTAGCCAAATTTTGCTGTTCAGGGATTCTAATACATTCTGGGTTTTCCCTTTGATGCATCGAGCAAGGAGCTTCTCATCCGTTAGCCACTTATAAATGGGCAAAACAGCCAATCCCTGTGCTTTTGTCAGGAGAGGTGTGTGGCGTGGTGCAGGTTCAGCAAGTGCTTCAGCGCGTTGATGTTTGCACCACGACTCTGTTCCTGCATGGCGAAACTTGTGGCTGCCAGCATTGTCAGTAGAGCATGAGTGGAAGTACGAAGCCCATACTGCAGTGTACATATCCCGTACACTCCCCCTGTTGCTTGTTATGGCAATCTGATAGCATGTTTGGAGCTTCTGAATGGCTGGTTCTTTCATTTTCTGCCCTCGTGGTAATGGCACATGCAGCTTCCGTAGCGCGGTGCCAAGTCTCTTGGCCACATGATTAGTGCAGTCTTCTTTTTCTATATTGACAGCACCATAGACTTTTGACTCTGCAACTGCACTATATGCTTTGCTGTCACCGTCACTCAAGAATGTCATGAAATGCAGTGGGGTGTCATAAGTCAATGTTCTCTGCCAAATGCGCATTGCAGCCTCCGTTTCCATGGCATGGGAGGAACAGTCTGCATTTTTTTCACAGACTGGGCCATGGAATGCCTGCCACACTTCCTCGTCTGGGCCCATATCCTTGTGCCTACTGTATGTCAGGCAGTAATTTGATATGACCTCGAAGTCTAAGCAGAGGCCAGTATCTAAGGAGATAACTGCGCCAATCCCGTTGTGGCTTTTGTGGCCCCTCTTCTGCCAAGTGCCGTCGAACATAACAGCCACATCAGTTTCGCCTGCTACTTCTTTCGTCAACTCTCTGAATCGGCGCAAGTTTTCACTCACAGCTGCCATGGCAGCGGTGTGCACCTTCTTTGCTATAGAAAAAAATCCTCGGTGGTGCATTGGCTTTGGGAGTCCAATAATGGAGCAAAATCTCGACAATTGCTCATGCCCAACGCCGACAGCGCACGCAGCCACTACCGCCTTCACATTTACAGCGAAACTATCTCGGGAGCTCGCACTGTCGTACCGTTGGCTCACTCGGCTGCTGCCGTCCGTTGTAACACCCAGTAACGTATAGGAGCACGAAAGAACAGTCGCTGAGCATTCGCTGTTTTCGCAATGAAGTTCGAGGAGCGCCGAAAGTCCCTTGCACTTTTCTGCCGGCTCCCGAATGGCAAGTTTTTGAATACCGCAAGCAGGGCATGCCGCACCTGCCACAAGTGCCGTCAGCAAGAGGGTGTCGCACAAAACTGTCGTTGCACAAACCTCATCGCGCTGTCTTTCGTCTTTTTCGAAGAAGCCGAGCTTTTTTTCCGAAGCACTGCCGAAAGAAAGCGCAGCGTCAATCCCTTCATCGCAGCCACTGTCGCTCGCGCACTCGTCGATGTTGCCGTCAGGCCTAGCACACGTAGGCGCGTTCTCGTTCGTCGCCGTCGTTCGGGGCACTTTACGCCGCCTTCCCTTAAACTTGTGCTTCGTTCGAAACTTCTGCGGTCTCACGTTGCACTTTTTCGGGCTTGTCATCGCGGAAATATGCGTAGACGCGCAGAAAAGCAGACGGACCAAATGCCGATGGCCGCCACTAACACAGCTGACGATGACTCGGTAGCCAATGGCGATGCGGTTTAGGGTGCCGCGCATTTCAAACTGCTCAAACCGCGTGATAAAAATGCTTCGTTTTTTATTATTATTTTTTTTTGCCCACGTACGAAACTGGCGGTCGTCGGAGCTGTAAGAAGAAGGCTGGTCGCAATTTTCCCAACTGATCGCCATGGCGGGCGGCGAAGGGGAGCAGCGCGCAGTCAAGGATGGCCGATATCGGCGCAAATTCACGAAATTTTGAGCCACCGCGATGCCTTCATACACATTTTCTTGCATTTTGCGGTTCGAATTTAGTTTTGAAATTTTCACAGATGAAAGAAGAAGGTTTGAAGATTACAATGCAATAAAAATCAGAAATACGAGAAATTTCACTAAAAACGCGATTTTTCGACTCGCATCTCCCCTTAATACTAATATCAAATCAAGGAAACTAAGTTTCCAACAATATTCATTTCTAAGATGTCAGTTCAATGCAGATGTGGACATGATGAATGGCACACTTAAAAAATTTTCTATGCGCGAGCTAGTGTGTTGCAATACTTGATACAGGCTCATTTTGCCAAAGACGTACCAGTGCCCCGTCTGTGCGTCATGCTGCAGTGATTCATGCAATTCAATCCTTTTCATTGCGATAGCAATTATATGGACACTCTCGGCTGGATATGGCCGCCGGTGCCGGCGTCGATGTCATGCACTGTATATGTATAGGTATCTATATATATGAAAACGCATCAAAGAAAAAAAAATCCAGAAAAAAAGGCTCAGGCGCGCATAATCGAACGTGGGACCTCCGCGTCGTGAATGCGAGGCGTTATCACTGAGCCACCGTGGGGTACCTCTTTAAATGTTCAAACGGCAAGCTATTTATATCTACCATTTACCGCTGTTAGCAGGCATTTCAGGGGGAACTATCGTGTTTCCAGCATTATCAGCGAGATGGCTCAGTGAGTGCGCAGTGGCTCTCATCTCTCACGCGTACTTTGGCCCGCGTAGAGAATAAGGGGGTGTATGCTCAACCGGGCGCCCTTATCTTGCATTGGGAAGGATCGTACGTCTCGTATGTATTGTGTTTTAGTTATCTGGTGCACAAAGGTCACTGCAATCGTTGCACATCCTCCGTTTGCGAAAAGGGACGCTGAGACGCTTATTCGCGTTCATCTGTACCTGTGAGTACGTTTTGTGCACCATTTGTGCGTGAGAAACGCGGGGCACGTTTCGATGTGCTTGCCATCCTGCACTTGACCTTCCATTTCTTTATGTCGCGTTCATTGCTTCGCCTGTGCGGCAAAGCTGTGACTTTGTCAGGCTGTCTATGTTACTTCAAAGAAACCATAATTTTTTGCTCTATGTGCAAGTGTGATTGCAAATCATCGTTTCTACAACCTCAGAATACATTGCAGTACTCTCAAGTTATAGAAACCATGATGTGTAATCATCGTTTCTGCAATTGAAAACAGATTGAAAAAATCTCACTTTTACTTTTTATTTTTTTCTAAAATATTAGTTTTTGCCTTTCAACCTTTTTCTGCAGTCAAATTTTGTTCACCAAAGTCCCATTTCTTATGAAAAGAACTTTGTAGTACTATTCGCGAATTCGTGATAAACATATATTTTTAGCACTTTATCGAAGGTGCGACTTCTGTAGTAGCTAATCATTTACGTTTTCACTGTCAAAGCTTCACCATGGTTGCCCACTCTCTGCAGACAAGTTGCTGACTGACCCGGGCCTCTCGTCAGCCGTGCGCCTGTCGCTGCTGCGGGTGCTCCAGGCGGCAGCGCTCAAGGAGGACGTCATCCTGTTTCTGCACCAGGACCGCAAGAGCCACTGCATCATGAGCTACGTGTACCGCATCGAGAGCCTGCCACCGGAAGAGCAGGACGAAGTGCTGAAGCTGGTATGTGCGTGAAGTGCTTTTCTTCATCATCTGGGCCTTAAAGTGTCCTAGTAATACACTAGAGGAAAACCTGGCACTGTGTCTGTGACAGCTGCAACGCATGACGCTTCACCCAGCCCAGAAGTTATGGGTAGTACCACAATAACTTGCATATAGTCAGAGGTGTATTTCGGGGATAGCAAACAAGGAAGAGGAAGTTGTCACCCTAATATAGCTCGAGCATAACAGAAACTAGAAAAAAAATGGCAGCATATTCATAGAGTGTATGATGATGAGTGGCACGAAGTGTTCGTCTGTCTGTCCGTGTGTCGATGTGCTTGTCCATCTTTGTCCGTCTGGTCGGTTACGCCTGACGCAGGACAAAGTTAGACTAAGAGGAACTTCGCCCCTAAAATTTATTCACGCACTTATTCATTGCCATCTGATGCGGTTTATCTAACACACTCTTGTCAGAGCTGTCCTCCCACTGCACCTCACCTTCACTGCCATCGAGGGCGTTTGAATGAAATCGAGCATTCCTCTAAGGCACAACGAACGAGTGCCACGGGAATGCTGACCCAAACTTCAGCAATCCATATGCACAGCATGGCCGACAAGGCCCATTTCAGCCAACAGGCAGAGGTCACATTTGCCTTCCAGACTTCACCCACTCCATGTACATATGCTTGATATTTATATAGGCACAGATCAAGGCGCTGCAGCCCGGATGTCCTCCTGGGGCAATGGCAAGCTCGGCGTGTGGGAGTGGTGCAGCAGCTGGAGGTGACACCGAAACATGTCGAGCACGAGTATCGACAGGAGTCCCAGTAATGCTTCATTGCCCCCAAACGAAGTCTGTCGATTCCCGTTCAACTGGAAAATGCTTTATTTTTCGGCCCCCTGAAACTTTTGAGGCCACTGCACACAAAGGAGGCTTCCGTCTGTTTCCTTCAACTGTAAATGTTTTGCTCGTCTACACCAAACTGACGGTCCATGCGCAGTTGCCAATGGTTTTGGCTAGAGCTGTGCAAATAGCGAAATTATGGCTGCGAGGCGAATTCGAATGTTGGAGTGTGAGTGCAAATCGAATCGAATATTTTTTATATATTTCTTGAATACTTTTGGAATAGTAGTTCGTAGTGAAATGGCGGGGGAAAACATTTGAAGAAGATTCATAAGCCTATTCTTATGACCCAGCCACATGAAAGTGTTAGTTTTTAACTTGTTTATGAAGCTCTGGGACAATGGTATTTTATAGTTGTCTCATCGAGAATGAGGCGATGCAGAGGCTGAATTGTATTTATGTACATGATTTGATGCAGCTAAAGTGTTGCTGGCAACACCTCAAATGTGAAAGGCAAAGATGCTATTTCCTCAGCCTCTCCTCTTTTTTCGACTTCTGTGGAAGCCCAACTCATGTGAGGGACAAGGGTGTGCTCCTTCGAGTTAGGCGTTCAAATCTGCATGCAGACGTCAACATACGAGAACATTTGAAATTTCGGGTGCTAAAAATCTTTGGCGTCAGATTTTTTGAACTTCCTGCCCGAATTTCAGGTCCCAAACAGCATTGAGCCGCCAGCTCTACATCCGCTAATCATCTATGTTGTGTTGGAACCAGCGTTTTCTTGAGTCAATGCATAGGCGAATGGCAGAGCCTGAAAGGCGGCTTTACTGCAATACGAAAATGTGTTGAAGTGAGGCAGACTGATCCATATATATGAGCGAGTAATTGGGGTGAAACATTTAGAAAATCTGAATGGGCCACTGCCTATTGGACGACTGTATTTGTCTTTGGGAATTTCTAATGGCTCCAACATTAAAGTTGTAGTGCGAATCGAATAGCAAAATTTATTCCAAAAAAATTCGACATTTTGAATATTGGCACACCCCTAGTGAAAATCTGTAATGAATAGGAACAAGACAAAAAATGTGTTTGTGATGTATAGTGCCACAGCTCGATGCTGTCTGGGGACATCTTTGCATTTTTTCACTTGTCCTCGAAAAGTGGCCTCATCGATGCATGTATGCGCTACTCCCACTCGGAGTGTTCTTGCTATTTTGGCTGGATTGATTGATCAATTGAAACAACTTTAATGAGGTCCTACAGGATGCGCCCTACGTAATCCTAGAAATTAGATTGACAAGCATTCCAAGTGTTCAGGTTGAGAATGGTGTTAAAAATGATCACCGCACTTAGAGGTGTTCCTAGAAGTAAGAAGTAAATGCTAATCCTAGAAGTTGTCAAGTGTGAAATGGTATGCGTGATGCTTTGTGTGCTACCTGTGTCTTACGCCATGTGATGTTTTTGTTTGTTTTTTTTTTTCACCTTTCCTCTCTGCATAGCTTTGCAACCTGTGCAGCAATGTGAGCAGCTACGATTGGCTTCTCTACATTTCCGAGTGGAGCGAGGAGGGTGGCCAGTCGTGCAACAACGCCAAAGCCACCGTGCGCGCCGTCGTCCACGGCCTCCTGTGCGACAGGCCAGAGGCACAGGAGCGTAGCGCCGCCCTCATGTTCAACCTCTCGCTCAAAGAGGTGCGTTGCGCTGCCAGGAACATGTGACAGCATTATAGTAGATTACTGTAGATTCCCATTAAATGAAACCTAAATGTACCAGCAAGATTTGTCCCATTTGACAAGTTTCAGTTACTGAGAGATGAACGAGCGCGCAGAACCCTAGTATGAAACCAAGCATCTTAGGGGCAGCTGTTCTGTTGAAGCAGCGGTTTCATTTTAAAGGGGTCATGCAACACTTTTTGAGCATGGTCAGTAAAAGCTGCCAATCGGTAGTAGAGGCTCCCAGCAACACGTGAGCCAAATATAGCGCAGCACACTGCCTGGAATTCACAATAAATTCTTAAAGTCAGCAATAGCTTTCTCTTCTCTCGACAAATCACGGAATTAAGCCCAGTAAGCCCATCTATCAGCCATTGGCTGCTTTGAACATGGCGTGCTCGGTTGTTACAGAGGTCGCCGCGAGTGGCCGTCGCTTGTCCATGCATGGGTGCGCGATCGCATTGAAAAAGCCGCATATTTGAAGCAAAAAAAAGAAAAAATGCTCAAAGTCACGAGGCGCGAGTGACGTTTTTTGTTTGCCCCTCCCATCCCCCCTGTTCAGCTTCCAGCGCTTTTGTTGGGACAAGAGAAAAGAGAATTTGATTGCAGCGTGTGACAAAACTCCGCTCGTACTAGATGGATTCTTAAAATTTTTGCGGCGTTCAATTTGTGAGGTCATACGCTTTTCCAGTGAAATAATTGCATGGTTACTCAAAAAAAGTGTTTCAGGGCCCCTTTAAGAGATTTCAGTTTGAATATGCTGCTATTACGCGAATATCAAACCCCAAATTTTATGGGGTTTGTGGGAGTGGGAGACAAAAGAGAGAAGTTAGATAGCCTTTGTGCATTTCTCGTGTAAATCACTTCACACGTGAACCTAGCTGATCCATAGATTGGTGCATATGTTTGTACATGTTTTCCAAACTGAATACATTTCAACTTTCACTGTAAGAGAGAGAGAAGCCTGCTGCAGTGGCGTAGCGGTTGCGGTGCTCGGCTGCTAAACCAAAGCTCGTGGGTTTAGTGCCAGCTATGGCAGTCGCGTTTTCATGAAGACAAAATGCCAGGTACCCAGGTACTGTGTGATGTCAGTGCACGGTAAAAGACACCGGGTGGTCGAAATTACTGGGGCCATCCACTATGTCTCGCATATTAAAAATCAAGGTTTTTGAACGTGAAACCTCAGGCATTATTAATATAGAAAAGACAACTGACATACCACCCTTCATAATGCTCTTCAATAGAAGAGAAAGGCCCAGAAAGAAAGCACATGCACGCACAAGAAGAGAAGGTGTTAAGGTTGTCTACTTGACTAAAAACGAACTTGCATAAATTCCATGTCTAACTTTTGGTAAACAAGTGTTGTGGTTGAAGGGAAGAGGTGAAAATTTTAAGGACGCATTTTTTTGTTGTTTTTTTTTTGTAAGACACATTGATAATAAGAACTAGCAGACAACACTGCCAAGCAAAATACAGGTGATATTATTAGAAGTAAATGTATTGTGATTACGAAGAAAAAAAAGTGGATGAATTGTTGACTCGTCTTTGGCAGGGACTATACCTGTGACCTTCGAATAACTCATCCGATGCCTTACCACTGAGCTGCGGAGGCAGTCATCCCCGCCTCCTCTTTATATGGTATATATGTGCTTTTAAACATGGGAGGGTCAGTCAGCGCCGCCTGTTGCCGTGGCGGCAAGTATGGGAGACCTTTTTGCCTGCTGGCGTCACGTAGCACACGACCTTATCACCGGCCCTGCCGCAGTGGTCTAGTGGCTAAGGTACTCATCTGCTGACCTGCAGGTCTGGGAATCAAATCCCGGCTGCGGCGGCTGAATTTCCTATTGAGGCGGCAATGTTGTAGGCCCGTGTGCTCAGATTTGGGTGCACGTCAAAGAGCCCCAGGTGGTCAAAATTTCCGGAGTCCTCCACTACAACGTCTCTCATAATCATATGGTGGTTTTGGGACGTTAAACCCCACATATCAATCAAATCAACCTTATCAAGAGCTGGCAGCGTACCAATAATCCCTCTCATACTACCTATTTTGGTTGGCGTACCAGTTGAGCACAGTTGCATCAACGACTCACCGATAGGAGAAAGCACTTTGCATTGCTTCGAAACCACTCAGAATGTACCGTAACCCGATGTTATTTTCTCGTTGAAAGCTTGCCTTTCAAAATGGGGCGTACTCGACAACCAGACAAAAAAGTGCTATGGCAAAGCTAACGCACAAGGTTTTTGTGCTTAAATAATGGATGCGCAGCTGCTATGCAGCTGCACACACCAATAATCAGGAAAGGGGGGAAGTCAAGTGATGGCACGGAGCAGTCTGGCTGCCGATTGCAATATGCATTGATCTGGCACCATCTGTGCATACATGATTGCCTTGCTTACATATTCCCGCTTTTTTCGGTGCATCGTATTGCTCCAAAAAAGTAATTGTGCAACACGCTCTCGGGCAAGCCTACATTACGCAGCGCTGAAATTCTGGATTTAGGTTGTGATTAGATTCATGCTACCTTTCAGTTGATGTTTTATTTGTTATAGTTCTGACTGTAATGCTTTTTTAAAATCCTCACTATGACTAAATGCGTAAGTTGTGCAACCCATTTTTTTTCAAAGCAAGGTGTACTCACGAGTACCGCGCTTCGCTGTTGCAGCTGTTTGATGACACGGCGACCGAGCTGTCTACGGCCGTCCTCCAGTACCTGCATGGAGACGTCAAAGAGGAACAAGGTATGTTGTTCAACCTGTCTCCAACACGTCTCGCTCACTTTGTTTTGTATGCAGCATGAAATTCACCTTTATGGGCATGCTCATCTCTCGCTAGCTTCCCACAGAATTCAGGGACATTCAGCATTATCATTTATATAGGTATGTAATGTGCAATTCCATCTGTTTTCCCTAATATAAACAAACGTTTGGTAGATAAATTGTGCCTGGAGAGTAAAACTGAAATACAGTAATTTTTAACGCTAGCATTTGTTTATTTGAGCCAGACAGCCATCTACTCTTTCAATTGCATAGGAACAGCTTTGCTGAACTGTAGAACCAAAGATCAGTGTATCTTATTCAGAATGAATGATGGCACGATTGTACAGGCCTCTTTTTCAGGTTTCAAGCTTCAGGTTTTTTAAGTTTAACTGTAGGAGTGTGCATTTTCACTTTAATCGATAAACTGTTGCCATGCAACAAACCTAACTTACACAATGTCTTGAGAAAACGCCGCAAATAGTGGAAGCTAGTGGGGATGTTACCTGGGCCTTTCAGGTGTACGTTCAGGGCCTAGTTGGGTAGAGTACGAGTCGGGCTGCTACGCTTGATAGAACAGCTATTGGACATGTAATTATTTATTAATATGTATAAGTTGATTAACCCAACAAGATGAAGACTTATTGCCCTAAACTTAGGGGAACAGGCACAGAGAACTTGCTTTTTAAAACTGCTCTTGAACGTGAATGGCAAGCACATAAGTACGCCTTAATAATTCGCCACTACTTCAAAAATGTCCCACTTTGTCAGTATGTCGGCACGATAGACCAAGGCATGAAGTTTGTTTAGCTTTTGAGACTACGTAATGAAAGTTATTCGAACCCCTTTTTTTTCTTCTCTCCTTGTCTTGTAGCTTTCTACTGCTTAACGGCACTTCTGCGGTTTCTACAGATCAGCTACAATGATGTGAGTATGCTGGTGCTTGTTTTAAAATTTTATGAGGTTGTTCGGCATTGATTGTCAATGGCGGCAAAATGAAGCAAACTACAGTAGACTCGTTAAACAGTACCTGAACGCACCAGGAAAACATGTCCCATGCAGCAGGAGTTTCGTTTACTGAGAGATGTACAGCGGTGCAGAATGCCAGTACTAAACCGATCATATAAGGATATTTAGGATTGTATAAAATTAATAATGCATCCGCTGTCACCTTATATATGCATGTAGTTTCCTTCTTCTTAACTTGTACTTGTTCATCAACGCTGCTCCGACAAAATTGTATTGTTACTTCTGATGTGGCTGCTTTTTGTGCTTTTATTTTTGCTCCCACTTCTGTAAAAACCCTCCAAAGGGTAAATAGTATGTTGAAAATAAATAAATAAATAAATAAAATATGGGAGACTGCTGTTCCATTTAAGCAGCAATTCCGTTCAACTGAGTCTACTGTAGCGTATTTTTCTTCGTGTGGGTGATACTACCGAAATCCAAGCTTTGTCACAGCAGTGATGAATTTGTCAAGCATAGTTTCAAAACCATGAAAGACGAGCTTACCACTAACGAAATACACCTTAGACGCGACTAAAAGTTACTAACCCCCGTTTTCATAAACGTGCCTTGACCTCAATTTCACTTTGCACCGCCTTCTATGAAGCGCGTTCAAAACGCGTTTGTTCTGCATTCAAGGCGGTGGCAAGTCAAGTTCAAGTCGAGGAGCATTTCTGAATATGGCAGCGAATCCTGCATCGGTTTTGTTGTACCTGTGTAGGCTAGTTTTCAGCAGAGCTACCATACGGTCAAATAAACAAGAGATTAGCAACATATCGCGAAATTATGAAAAGATGGCACTGTATACTTATTTGATGTGCTGTGTGATCAATTAAACTTGATACAGTAAAAGCTCATTAAGTGAACACCTAGGTACTGATTTGGACACATTCTGTGGTCCAGACGAGCATACATATTTTTTATAGCATGAAACTCTCGCTAATCTGGTCATATTGAGACATAACTGGGTTAATTCAGACGACTTTTGGAGCGCACCAAACATGAAGTGCCTAAAATGTATGACACAAAGGGGCCAAAATGGTGTTTGTGGACAATCGAAACGAGGCGGCATCATCTGTATTGTCATTGCAATCTGCACAAAACTGAATAGAGTCACTTGTGATGAAAAGTGAATTAATAGAGTCAGGTGTGATGAAAATTGCTATTTTAAGCTGCTCTTGTGCAAAAGTAAGGATTTTACGTATTCGTCCAGAAAAGGAAAGTGTATTGATGTAGTACATAAATGTTTGTTTTCTTGATATGTTTGATAATTTGGGATTCAGTTAATTCAGGCATTTTTTCCAGTCCTGTGAAATCTAAATAAAGAGATTTACTGCTCTATAATTCTTTTCCTGCCATATGTTATTCATTATAACAAATAAAAGCTGACTAATCTGTTATTGCACCCATCCCCCAACACACAAATATATTGAGTTTCTATGTGAACTTGAACAAACTATAACTTGATCTCATTCTCGGTTTACAGTAGACTCTCAGTAACCAGAACCTGAAGGGACAGTGAAAATATGTTCCATTTAACAGGAGTTCCGTTTACTGAGAGGTGAACATGGGTGCAGAATACAAGCCCGTAACCAAGTATTGCAGAGGCAGTAGTTCTTTTTAAGCAGTAGTTGCATTGAACAGGTTTCCGTTGACCGAGAGCTTACTTTATGTGAGTGTTCTTCTGATGGAAACATGTATACCAACACTTGGAAATTACTTGATTGACCACTATGTTGAAAGCTTACTCCGACTGTATCATCTCCAGTCATTGTAAAATGAGCTCACAGAGAAGGTCGTGGAGCAAGGGAACTTAAAACTGTCACGTTTCCGCAGGTTCCCGCCCTGGTGAAAATGCTCGGCCCAGACCTGCAGAAGTTTTCCGGCGCTTCGGAGCGGGTCAAGAAGCTCGTCGACGAGATCGGTCTCAAGCTCTCAGTGTCGATAACGGCATGACGACGCTGAAGCATACGTGCAAAGCGTGCCCTCACCAGTTTTCTGAATCTGGGGTTCTCGAAAGGACTCGAAACATCACCCCACTCGTTCTATAATTGAGGGGGATGCTGTCATGCAGTTCAGGTTGTGACAACGGAAGTTACAGCAGACAATCGGCGAGATTTGGTGCTTTGGCTGCCCTGCGGAGCTGCTCTTATAGAAGAGTAGTGATGCATGTTTTCAAGGTTTAAGAAACTAGCATGTAATTGGCGCCAGTTTGGTCCGACAGGAAAGCACTTTGACAGGGATCACCTGAATCTGATAGCACTTGATCCTTTAATGCTCATATGACGTCATCATAATCAGGACGTGACAGAGAGTAAAATTTACTGACACATTGTCGATATGCTAGTTGCCAGGATGTTGCCCACGGAAGATGTGCAAACATGCTGCGCATATCCTGACTGCGCCTCTATGTGACATTCACAGCTGTTGGAGAAGCACAGTGTCACGGCATATCATCATGTCACAAAAGGTCCATTTTTCTGCCATGTACAAAAAGCTTGTTTTAATGCAAAAAGAAAATAAAGTACATTTAAAGCATTGCATCAGTATTCTTTTAATTGTATCCACAAAATGGATCTGTTCCCAAGTTTTAGTCACTTTTTGGGTACTGAGATGCGAATGTTAATTACCTGCTTTGATTTGTTCCATTCTTTTTATTGTAAACTAATTAAAAGTTTTAATGACATCACAGTTTTAACTCTGGCACACAGGGCAGCCAACTGCATGAAATTTCACCGAGATGCCTACATAGGGATTTTCCCTCTGGCTGCACGATCTTGTAGTCTCTTGCAAGCTTCTCCGATTTCCCCTGTTTTGTTTTTTGCCTAACACAAACACAAAAGGTACCTCGTTTGAATCGGTTGTTCAGCTCGCAGGCAAGTTGTCAGTTTTCTGTTACCTGAAGTTCACCGATAGGGCAATTTTTCCATTACAGCCACGCAACATAGAAACTGTTCATATATCGTTGCCTCAGATTTTGTTTTCTCTGTTGTTCTCGGACGAAGCTTCTCAGATATTACATTTGTAGGTGCGGCTGCTACTGATTGAATGTGCCTTGTTGAGATATTTTTCAAAGCAGAGTAACGTTAAATTTGGACAGCTGCTCCGTGTTACAAGCAGCGATAGCTGTGACGAAGTAATTTGATGCTTTTTTTTAGTTACGTCGCAATTTTTATCCCAGGAACAGGATTTTAGTGAGCAGTTTCAGTAGCATATCCTACTTAACGAAGGTTGTGTTGTATTCGAGCCAATGTATCGGGTTCCGCAATTCCTCTCAGCTGTGCCGAGCACATATTTATTTTTGCAGACGCGGCTGCTTCAATAACGGTTATTTGATCTGGCACATGCACAATACTCATTACACAGTGATATTTTTAGCGCAACATTTCGGGGTAAAGCGTGGCAATATTCCTGAGCACGAGCGGCTTTTGGAGCCTGTGCACTTGGGAAGTAATAAGGTATTATTACAGTTTTATAGTTATTGACAAAATATGTTGCGTTAGAATTGCGTCAGGCAGCTCATAATTCTTGGAAGTTTCTGGCTGCGTATGTTATCATCATATATATGCACAATTGTTCGGATGACTAACCTTTTTATGTTGGACGACATATATATATGTGGCTCTTGTTCAGTGGAATAAAAAAAAAAGCTTGTTTGTAAAATCTCTTGTCACGTGTCTGAAAGTACTAGAGCCTTGCATAGGCCTCATTTCCAAGCCAAAGCCCGACGCGGGCCCGCTGACAGCGTCAAAGGCCCACCCGAACCCGATGCTAAAGTGCTTCAAGCCCACCTGGCCCAGCTTCACGCTCAGAAACAAACGCCTGGGGCCAGGTAAGTCCGGCCTGACATTAAGGAGGTTTGTTGCTGAGAAAATTTAAAATATTATCTTCTCCTGATAATGTAGCATTTTAATCAACATATCAAACTTAAACATAAGCTATTGACATGTGACACTCACGGAGAAGGCGTTACACGATGGAAAACAATTTTATCAATGTGTATATTGAGGGTTTAATTCGGGTTTCGAGCCTGGCCTGGTTGATAAGAAACAACAATGAGCCCTGAATAAGAAGACATCTGCCTACACGACCCTGGCCCACAAGCTGGGTTGGGCTCAGGCAAATTAAAGCCCATGCAAGCCTCTATAATTCTATCAAAGGTCGCTGCTAAGGGCATTGACTAATATAAGTTCAAACACATGTGGGGCACATGTGGTTGTGCCTCACCACTTCTATTGTGCCCCACCACATGTGGGGCACAATAGAAGTTCAACCACAGGGGTTCTGTAAATTCCTGTGTAACACTCGAAAACACTGTAGAAACAAATGAGCATGTTGGCATTCATCTTTCACTGATCAAGGTGGAATCAACAGCAAAGCTGTTTTAGGTCTCCGTAGTATGTGCAGTGTCACCAGAAATGTCTGGTAGGTATGCATGACATTGCGCTACCACTGCGTGCAGCAGGTGCATGCGCCAAACAAACATGTCGAGAAAAGATAGAAAGCATAGAAATAAAGAGAAATAAAGGTGATGAAGGCATAAAACAATGAAGAGACAAAGAGATGCATGAAAAAGAATTAGACACAGAGAAGAGAAAACGGAGAGCAAGACAGAAAAGTATGCGAAAGGGCACCACGGTGGGCATGTTGATGTTTAATATTTAAAAGTAAGCTGAGCGCGAGAAAGAAGCACGCAGAAAAAAAAACAACTAGTGATAACACGAGCACTGAAAAGCACTCGTGTTGTCCAGTTATTTTCTGCATCTTTAATTTTCTTGCTACAGTTCACTTTTGAAAGACTGAAATAAATGAAGGACAAGAGAGAGTAAGGAAAAAAAAATGAATAGAAAAGAAAGAAAAAAACTATACGAACAAGCAGGTACAAAAAATAGATACAAGAAGCAGAGATAGACAAAAAAAAAGAAAAGTGACCATATCTATTTGATTGAAAAAGTTGCTTAACCACCGTGGGTTGTGAGCTTGTAGTATAGTTACAACATAGCCATCAATTGATTGGCACAAATATCTGTTCCATCAGAAGTTTCACAGTGGGGGCTGGGCAGTTCAACCCCCTCCCATATATATATATATATACATTAGCGAAATAAATGCCTGAACACACACAACTCCCCCCCCCAAAAATTTTTTTGGCTATGCCACTGGTCCAGCTGTTCTGGGGCTGGGCGAGTTTATTTATTTAATATAACTCAATTACCCTCTACAGAGGGCTTTACATGGGGGTGTGGGCAAACAATATAGTGTTAATAAGTAATGATTCTATGGCGTTCCTAAATTTATGTGTTGGAATTATCAATGACATGTGTTGTCTCTCTCTGCCTGAGCAAAAAAGGAATGATCATGGGCTGTGGTGCAAGCAGGAGGTTGGTTGACGTCCTTGTGGCGACTTGTGCGGGCTGAGGTACGCTGGGCTGGTTGAATGGAGGAGTTATAATGAAACGCATGATAGATTTTGTGATGCAATGACAGTCTAGAAATTCTAAGGCATACGTATATGTTTAGGTATACCTGCCTAACCTTTAAGGGTTACAGTGGGTCTGACGACAGATGAATGTCCTCGGTTCAAGTCGAGCTCCTGTTCCCACAGATACACCTCGATAAAGCTCTTCCTAGGGGGCTTTAAGTCACGAGCGAAGTGGTAACGGCGAAAGGTGACTCAAGCGTGTAGAGGAAGTCGACGTAGCTGAGCCCTGGTGTGGCAGAGGATGCCACAAGTCATGCCCCGTGCATCTCTTCTCCGCAAATAATGTAATCACAGACAACCCCGCAAAATTACGAAATGTCGCAGCTTCAAGGGTCTGATGTGCAGAGGTCGCTACTGTGGAGTTGGTTTGTGACGCCCCCCTCCTAGCTGTGAAGCGTTAGTGCCTTGTCTTGTCTTGTCGCCTTGAATAAAGAGAGTTGTTTGGGTTTATGTGTCGACCGGTTGTCCCACTAGGGGCTTCTCAAATGCCCAGACTATGTCTATAGGTTGCCGCCCCTGTGAACCTTTGGTCATTTAATAAACTCCTCCAAGGTATTGGCAACCTTCCCGTCAATGTGGCCAAATAAGGGACAAAGCCCCGATCGAAAGTATAGATTTGGTTGGGCAGAGCAAAGCTTAGAATATGTGGCACACATGCACCTACGCTGGGAATCGGTCAAGAACCGGGTAGTTCCAAAAGATACCTTACTTTTGTCTAGCTTACATTTCAGACAATAAAATTCATTCCATCTTCTCATCTTTCTGGAGCTCAACGTACGGGTAGTGGGTACACGTAACATGCATTCGCCGAGCGGAAGCATCGTCATCTTCATCTGCGCGCGCTCGGGCTCCAGTTCACTGTCGAACTAGACAAGCGCCAGCTCAAGATGGATGGAAAGAAATCTGAACAGGGAGTCGATAGCCAAGTTAAGGACTCGACTTAGGTTGACTGTGTAGCTTTCTCCGCCGTCGATTCGTAAGTGTAGCAAGCGGCCAGGATGACGTTAGGCTTAGCATGGCGCCTGGGCGTCGGCAGGTGGGGGCGAAAGGAGCACTTGCCCCTCTCAAGCCTAACCAGCACTTGCCCTTACCTAAACTATCTCAGTGCTCTCCCCAACGCATAGTCGTGATGTAACACTGGTTTGCATCCCCGGAGTGGAAATTCTGACGACCACGCGTGGGGTGAGCGAGTGGTTGCGGACGCTACCATGGAATCGTTTTCGGCGATACATATAGACCTCTTAAAAAGCGGCTCCCTGGGTGACAGTGAACCAGAGGGCGCGACGAAGCTTTTTCAGCAAAAATTTCAACAAAGAAGTGCTTTATGCGCGCCACAATAGACGAGGATGAATCAAGTGGCGCAATGGCTCCATTTTCACAACAAGAGTGGGAAAGGGCTGAAAAAAGGGTTCCTAGTAATACATCAACACGCCCAGATGGCATTAAAATTATGCTGATAAATACATTAGGTCCAAAGTCTAAGCAGGCTTTGAGAGAGGCTGTGCGCAAAATAATAATCGATGGAGAAGTTCCCGATGGATGGAAACTTAGCAGGATGAGCATGATCTATAAAGGAAAGGGGGACAAAGCTGACATGAACAACTACCGTCCTATAACAGTGACATCAGTGGCCTACAGGCTGGCGATGCAGATTATAAAGGAAAGACTGCAGGCATGGATAGAGGATGAGGGGGTGCTGGGGGAACTGCAGAATGGGTTTCGAAAACACAGGAGGTTGGAAGACAATCTGTTCTCACTGACGCAGTGCATTGAAATAGCAGAAAGGCAACACAGGCCTCTGTGGCTAGCATTTTTGGATATCAAGGGAGCGTATACGATAGCGTGGTTCAAGAGGAATTGTGGGCAATACTGGACACACTAGGCGTAGAAGATGTAGTCAATAATCTTTCAAAGGATGTCTATAAAGGTAACAAAGGAATTATAAAGTGGGAAAAACAGGTATCCAAGAATGCAGAGGTAAAACGGGGGCTTAAGCAGGGGTGTCCCCTGTCACCTTTATTATTCATGATGTACCTACGAGGATTAGAGGCCAAATTAGAGGGAAGTGGACTTGGCTTCAACCTCTCTTTCGTCAAACAAGGAAAACTCATTGAACAGGCACTACCAGCATTGATGTACGCAGATGATATAGTGCTAATGGCCGACAACAAGGAAGATTTGCAGAGATTGGTGCACATCTGTGGTAATGAGGGAGATAGGTTAGATTTCAGATTCAGTGAGGAAAAATCAGCAATCATGATTTTTAATGACAATGAAGGTAGTGAGCTTAGAATACAGGAGGTCACGCTAGATATAACAGATAAATGCAAATATCTGGGTGTGTGGATAAGCAATGGGGCCGAGTACCTAAGGGAACACGAAATATACGTGTCGACTAAAGGTAACAGGAATGCAGCGGTAATAAAAAACAGGGCACTGTGGAATTACAATAGGTATGATGTTGTGAGAGGAATATGGAAAGGGGACATGGTTCCTGGTCTGACGTTCGGCAATGCGGTCTTGTGCATGAGATCAGAAGTTCAAGCAAGATTAGAAATTAAGCAACGTGGAATAGGTAGGCTTGCCTTAGGAGCTCAAAGGAATACACCAAATCAGGGAGTACAAGGTGATATGGGATGGACATCATTTGAGGGCAGGGAAGCTAGCAAGATAAAATTGGAGAAGCGATTGAGAGAAATGGGGGAGGAGCGTTGGGCTAGGAAGGTATTAGGCTACTTGTACATGAAGAATGCCGATACAAAATGGAGGAAGCGAACCAGGAAATGGACTGTTAAGTACTTGGAAAACAGCAGGAGCCAAACCAAAAAAATTATCGGTTAAGAAGAAGGTGAAGGAAGCTAAGACCGATATGTGGAGAATCGGCATGATTAAGAAGTCCGCACTAGAGATCTATCGATCTTTTAAGTAGGAAATTGCCAAGGAAAAGATCTATGATAATACTCGGGGTAGTTATCCACTGTTTGTGGCCAGGACGGGAGTATTGCGAACCAAGACATATATGGGGCCAAATACGAAGGGGTATACACTGTATGCAGTGCGTGTGGATAGGAAGAAGAAACTGCCGAACACTTGATAATGTTCTGTAAAGGGCTTCAACCTATAGTTCGCGATGATGGCTTAGAGTTTTTCAAAGCACAGGGTTTAGGGACAGGGAGGGCAA